GGGGGGTTGCGGTTTGGCGCATGATAGTAGCTAATATGCTGCAAAGGATAAGGCGCACACGGAGAGCGAGGACACCATGGGCATACCAGGATGCTGAAAATCAATAAAGTAAACTGGCATTTATTTTGAAATTTATTTTAAGAGGATTACAAGTGCTTGCCTCCAAAGAATTCGGCGGAAATAGAACAATTTTAAAAGCAAAGGGAAGTTATTTACAAATAAAATTCTATTTAATTAGAGGGATATACAAATCAAACAGTTTACATTATATATGCAACAAATTTTATAAAAATAATATTCTTGAATATGTTATCTAAAAATTTAGAATTGGTATCTGTATTTTATTTTTCAATTTATATAAATTCATACCCTTTCCACTGTACTCTTTCCAAGGAAAACGCACAGCCCAGAAAGCCAACACAGCTCCATCCCAAGCCAGAAGGCCTGGTCGGGATTGGAGTGTTAGTGCTAGTGTTATTTACCAGGCTAAATTATTAAACGATTGTTAAACGAGCGGATAAAGGATGAGCGTGAATGATGATGATGATGCTGCTGGCCTGTGAGGAAAAGGGAGAAAATATGGGAGGACTGACAAGAGGGTGTAAAGTCCTGCCACCAGGAAAAATGCTCGGGGAGCAGAGAAAGGGAAAGGGAAAGGGGGAAGCCGGAAGGCTGCTGCCTTGTTAGCTTGCCAGCTGAAGGGGAAATTTGATATTAGGTAAATTTATTTGATTTACATTTTTATGGGGCACCCGTTTTGGCGCAGAGGGTGGGTGGATAATTCCGAGTTGGGTGGAATTTTCCCTGTTGTTTGCCAACGTCGTTGTCGTCGTCCTGCGCTTATCTCACATAATGCCGGCAATGAAGATAAGAACCTGTCTGGGGTGAGAATAAAGCGTTGCACACCGCACACCGAGTTGAATAAATAGAGTAAATACAAAATGAATTAATAAAAATGGCAGCAAAAAATAATAATCATAAACGAGCTTGCGACACACGAGCAGCTTTTTTGTTGATTTGCACAGAGAAAAAATGCGATAAAGGCTTTCAATTTACATACACGTATAAATTTTAACTTTAATGAATCAAGCTAATTTTAACATATTATGTATCTACAGTGATATTTAAAGAATTTTAAGAACATTAAAAAAAAAAAAATTAATTGCATTAATAAGGTTGTTGATTTTATTAAGTTTTTTATATCAGGCTTTTTTAGATTTAAGAATTGATTGAATAAAGAAGAGAACAACAAAATTTATCTTGCAAGTGACTTAAACTCCGCTTTATTATTTTTGGCTCTGCAATTTTTTCCCATAAGCAAAGTGAGTAAAATAAAAAATCAGCTGAAATAGAGAGAAACTGCGCTGTCAATCAGCCACCCCGCGATCGAACTGAATCTCCGAACCACTGAACCACCCACCCACTGAAGGCAATCAGTGCCAAATCAGAACTTTATTTATTTGCTTCTTGTTTGCCAAACATTTACGCCATCAGCAAAACGACACCCGAGAGCTCGTTAAATGCTCAGCCATGCGGATGTAATTCAATAAACGAGCGTTGTGCGCCATCATCAACACCCCACCGTTTAGCGGAGTGTGTGTGAGTGTGTGTGAGACTATCGATGTATGAGTGTGTATCTGTGTGAGGCAGCCGCAATTGCCACAACAGCCGCTGTGACTAAATGACTGACTGACAACCGCAGGGTTTAGCAAGGGGATGGTTTATTTACTCGCCAAACAACCCCTCGAAAAGCATCCCGAAAATCCCCATTTTTCACCATTCTCCTCTCGTCCTGAAATAACGTTTATTGAGCAGAGTTTCGCAACAGCCTCGTCCTGTGCGTCCTTCGGAAATTTCCGAACTGTCAACATGTCAACTGTTTGGTCGAGAAGGTTGTTTCTGGAGCGACGTGTTTGTTGTATTTATTATCCACGGGGTGGGTGGCATCGCTTTTTCGGCCTGTTTAAGCGATTTAACGCATCGCAAGGATAATGAAATTTTGATTATGCGCCGCTTGGCTGGTTGTCCTGGCACAGCGACGCCCTCTGTTGGGCGGACTGGTTGCCGGGTCGCTATGAAATTAGCGTCATTTGGGGGTCCTTTCAAACTGGGGGGATGGGCTTAACTTCGCCGAGTTGCTAATTATATTTGGAGGAGGATGACTGTGAGTTTGGAACTCATTAAAATTTATTATATGAAAAGCCTTATGAGCATGTAATAAAAATAAGTTAAAGCGCATTTAAGAAACAACACAAAAATTGAATTTAAATAAAAATAGATATAAAATATTTATATCACTTATATCTAGTAGTTCTTCTCGCTGTTCTCATTTCCAACTGGAATAATAATCAATTTGCAGACTGGGTAATTGCTCACTCTCGGATACAAACAATTATGCAATTCAATTCTGAATTAATTGCACAATAAAACACAAAATTCTCATTTAATTGCCGACAAAAAAGCACACGAAGCCAAAGCGGCAACCCACATAAATATTCAACGCCCACATACACACCCACTCAATCATGGCTAACTAACCCCTCCTCATTCCCTCTTCTCAGACACAGCTTCTAAAATCAAACTCGAATCGGACGGCGGGAAAAATAAATTTGAAAAATTATGAAAAACCATCAAAACATTTACATACGTTCAGGGGAGTCGGGAACGGGAGAGAAATAACTTACTCTTTTCGATCCACGCACTTAGTGGTATCCAGCTGGCCTTTAAATAGCTAATTCTAGCTGGGCTTAAACTTTAAAAAACTTTGTTCGAAACTTAAAACTTAAAAACTTATTATGAGAGATAAGTTTTAAATAAGGTTTTGGGGATATATTATCATATAAAACCAGAAAATATTAAAATAAACATTTCTTTAAAAGTAAACATTTATTTAATGTGATATACATAGCTATCTTTTTGTAAACTATAGTTGCCAACACTGCACGCAACCAAATCGGCGGCCATTTATCAATTGACCAACTTGGCCGAAGCGTGGACTTTTGTTAGTGCTTTTGTATTGGCCGACTTGCTGCTGCTTTGCCGGTTTCGTTTCATCTTAGCTTGGTGGACAAAAAAGGGGGAGTGGAACGGGCTGGGACTCGCTTATGATGTTTATTGAAAAATTAATTTGCGCCACGTTTTTGTATTTCTTTTTTTCGGCTCTCATTTGCGTATTTCAAAGCGCAATGAATAATGATGCTGGTTAAGTAGAGGAAAATAAAAGAAACGCTCGACGTGCTTGGCCTGAGAAATTAATATTTGTAATTGGCTATAATTGTTTATGCCAACGGCACAAAGTCTAGAAAATTAAATGAAGACAATGATATTAATGAGCAGAGGGGCATCCCATCACATTTTGCAGCCATTTCGAAATGTTTAATTGAAAAGAAAGCGGAATTGTTGGGCCTTATAATGAAGTGCTCAACTTTGGGAAGTAGGAACATTTTTAATCAGTGGAAGCAATGTGAAGGGGCGTTGGAAAAGTGGTAAGAGCTATATCAAGTGTTAATTGAATAGCTGGGAAATGTGTGAAGATTATAAATGGGTTTATTGCTGAAGGCTTTTTTTAGGTAATATTTTAAAAAAATTATGGGAAATGTTAAGGAGTATTAACCCATGAATTTTATTATCATTTCAAGATTTTTAAGTGGTAATTAGTGAGATGGAATAATGCTCATTAGAAAAATTTAATTGAAAGAAATTAAAGAAAGAAAGAAAGAAATCATATTATATATTTGAGTACCCAAAACAGGCCTCATACAAAATCGCTTTGCAACTAATTAAGGCAACCACACAGCCATTCGTCAACTGTTCTAATTGAGCTCTTTATTTCCCCCACTGGCAATTGCCATTAAAATCCTTTCACCAACTTGCCGCCCGAAAAGCCCAGGAAAACCCCACCCACCCACACAGTCCACCTCCCCAACCCCCCAACTTGGTCCTTGGAGCAGCGGAAAACAAAGGAGCAGCTGAACAATGGCTGGCAAAAGTTTCAAGCCAACAATTTCACATAATAATCCTTAAAATGAGTTTAATTTGTAGAGCAAAAATTATAAATACAGTGGGAAGGAGGAAGGGTTTTCGTTTCTTTCATGCAGTTCATTCCGTAGCTCTTTTTGGGGATGTCAAAATTCTATAAAATCCTGCATATTTCACATTTATGTGTATGTGATTGATATGCCTGGGTTCCAGGGATGCTCGATTTATGTGCCCCGATCCGATTTTTATGGCTTATCTTTTGAGGTGGGCACCCAAAAAGGAGCAGAAAGGAAGAAAAAACATAATTTCCTGACCGAGATTGCAGCTTTGCGATAAGGACGCTCAGCCAGTCGCTTGACGATGTTTGAAGCCAGATAATAATGGGTTTATTATTTATTATATTGTCTGCACTCGCAAAGGACATGTTGGAGTACCAATTAAATTCCCAAAAACCCCCCAATCATATTCGTATATAGCTCAAAAATCACGCCAATTTGGCCAAATGAAGTCATGATGAAAAGAGATGGCAGAGGGAAAAGCAGAAAGCGAAAGAAAAGTCGAAAAACCAAAGTGGAAATGGACAAGCGTTTGCCGCCGCTGCTTGTTATAAAATGCTAATACGCGCAGCAGCTCGAAAAAAAAGTGGAAAAACGCTTTGAAGATTGAATTATTCAATAATAATTAGGCGTGCAAGCGAGATGGCAACAGTTTGGGGGTTGGATATTCTATCCCCCTCTAAAAGAGTGAACCGAAACTCACCACACTGAGTGAAAAGAAGGCGGTGCAAAGCCAGAAAAGAGGAGAAATACGAGACTAACACTGAAAAAAAAGAGAGAGAGCGCACGTCTCGAAGCCAATAAAAATGGTGTCGTGGTATAGGGGTTACTCCATGGGAGTGAAAGAGAGCCACTCTTTCCGCAGCCGGTTTTCCACCACCAATATTCGGAGCGTGGTGTGCGTGAGTATCTGTGTGCGGCTGAGGCAGCGGTGCATCCGAAATAACCACTTTGGTTCATTCGCAGAACAGACGTGATCTCAAGAGGACGTGTATCTCTCTCTGAAAGCAAAATATATCTCTCAAAGCAAAATAACGCCGCGTGTGTCGACGAGACAGTGTGTGTGTGTGTTTTTAAAGCGTGTGATGAACGAGCGCATTAATTAAGAGATAATCAAAACAAATTAACACCGGGCCATGTCTCAATGAAACAATAAACCATCGATTAGAGCAAAGCGCATTCAAAGAGGCCCGAGTTAATCGAACGATCGATCGAAAAGGCTTTATGTTAAAGCTCAGCCCAGCGAGCATGACAGTTACAGGTCTGCGCCAGACGATGACCAGCCCCACGGTGCCGCCGAGCAGCAACACACCCGCGGGCAACACCATCACGAGCAGCAGCAACATGAGCAGCGGCAACATGTCCGCCAGCAACACCAACTCGCAAATCCTGAGTCCCGCTCACCCGGCCGGATTAAATCCGCTTTCCAGTCCCACCTCGCCGTCGGCACTGCTGCTGGCCCACCAGCAACATCTGCTGCAGCAGCACCAGCAACACCAGCAGCAACAGCAGCAGCAACAGCAACAGCAGCAGCAGCAACAAGCGGCCCTCCAGCTGGCCGCAGTGCATCCGCCGGCGCATCACCTGCACAAGACCACCTCCCGACTGAGCAACTTTAGCGTGGCCTCCCTGCTGGCGGACACCAGGCCCAGAACGCCACCCAACCAGGCCGGAGATGCACCACAAAACCTCACCAGTTCGGCGGCCACGTCGCCCATTTCCCAGGCCAGCAGCACACCGCCACCGCCGCCGGTGTCGTCGGCCAGCCAAGTTCCCGCCAATGCCTTTCATCCCGCCGCCGTGGCGCATCACGCCCACTTGCTGCAGGCCGCCCACGCGGCAGCAGCGGCACATGCCCAGCACCAGGCGATGGCCGCCCAGTTGCGCCAGCAGCAGCAGCAGGCCGACGCCCGAGCCAACTCCCCACCCGCCTCCACGAGCTCCACGCCCAGTTCCACGCCCGTGGGATCGGCGCCGGGATCCGGCAACGTGGCCTCCACGCCCGCCAAGAACGAGCGACACTCGCCGCTGGGCAGCCACACGGACTCGGAGCTGGAGTACGACGAGGAGATGATGCAGGACCACGACCCCGATCACGACGAGGAGGAGGACTCCATTGTGGATATCGAGGACATGAACGCGGACGACTCGCCGCGTTCCACGCCAGACGGCCTGGACGGCAGTGGCAAGTCAATGGAATCGCCGCACGGTCCTCCGCCGGGTTCGCACATGCCTTCAACGATACTTTCGCCGGCGGCTTTGGCCTCCGGTCATGTGCCCATCCGCCCGACTCCCTTCAGTGCGCTGGCCGCCGCGGCGGTTGCCTGGACGGGAATGGGCGCCGGAGTACCGTGGCCGGGAGCCCGGCAAATGCCGCCCTTCGGACCGCCCGGCATGTTTCCGGGAGCAGGATTTGGTGGAGGTAAGTGTCGCCACATGTTATTTCAACCGGGTTAAGCAGGGTTTTTTGCTAGCTTGTTTCTTGAGGAGGAAATTATAAACCTTATCGGCTACATGTGCTCAACTGCATTGCAAAAGGGATATTTTAAAGGGTTTGAAAGAAAAAAAGATAGGAGTTATTTACAATTTGTTAATATATTCATACATAAATCTATATATAGATTACAAGGTTTTGAACCTTGAAAAATCATATATTAGGTACTCTAAAAAATTAAACTCATGAGTTGTTTTTATTGACCTAGCAACAATAGAATTTCGTAAATTAAACCGCAAAACAAAGATCGCATTTGCCACCAGCCAGAGATACGTATTCAAAAACGATTTATTTAATGGTGGAATTTGCTTGGTGCTCCCTTAACGTCGCCCCCATTGTTTCTGCCCCGTCGTTCTGTTCTGTTCGGTGGCAACTTTATCTACACCATTTTGTGTCGCATTTTAATTCAATTAACTGCTGCCCCTCGCCTTAATTGGCGTCGATGCTGATGTGATGGTGATGGCGATGGCGATGGTGATTCTCCTCCCGACGAACTGCGGGTGCTCCATCATGGCCACCTCGTCGTCATCATCAATGCGATGGAGCGATCGTGACTGCAGTTTGTAGTCAAAGTGCGTGGCAATTATAGCGGGGCTTTAAATAAAACAATGAAATATGCCTGATTGCTGGGCCCATTATTTGATGATGATGATGATGATGATGGGGATGGAGCGTCGCGTCGCGTCGGTTTTGATTTGACTCAATTGGCTGCGTCTGATTATTCATTGCACTCGGTGGTCACCGCCGTTTTTCGGTGTTTTCCGGTCTGACAGCCAGCCCCCTTCTATCGTCCGAAAATCTAATAATAATCGCATAAAAACCGGACTGTCTAACCGACTGGCCAGACTAATTGAAGCGAGTCTGGCGGGTTAACTCAACTGGGCGATCTCTATCTGCATGCACAGTTCACACTTTGCCTGCATTTCCTGGACAAAAACTGAAGGAAAAAGCCTGGAAAAACACTCGCTAAGTCACACTTTGATGCCGGACTGACATGTGAACCTTTCTTGGCCATCGCGAACTTTGCGTTTCCGCTTTTTAAAGTTGCCCAACACTCAAAAAAGGGCGGTGCAAAAAGTCGGTGCAAAAAAAAGTGTAAATTTGCTTTTTATATGCAGACGAGCAACTATTGTTACTGTTTTTGTTGTTTGTGCGGTTTGTGTGTTTTTTGGTTTTTTGCCAGCACAAGGCATTGTTTTATAATGCTTCAGGGTTTTATACAGAAAAAGAGCTACGAAAGGGTGTCGTCTTGGGGAATTTGGGTCTTCAAGTGGGTTACGGACTTCCAATTTTAGATTCAATCAATATTTGGCAAGCAATACATACTTTTGTAAAATACTTCCTGAATAGTTAATAATTTTGAACAAATTACAGTTTTGAAAAATAGAGAAATCGAAATATCAATTTATTTTAAATTAGAAAAAAAAAACTGAAAAATACTTATAAATCAATCTCGATGTGGGCCATCAATTTCTGGGCCTTCGACAGCCACTTGAGCTATCTTTTGTCCGTCTCTATAAAGAGGCCATGCGGACGGGCCGAGATGAATAAACTATTCCAAACATTTGCCGCTTATTTTGTCATTTGGCTGTCAACCGCTGCCTGTGTATAAAATACAGGCGAACAACTTCATTTCACTTCGTTTCGTTTCATTTGGCAGCTGTTTTTTCCTCCGGCCTTCGGTTTCGGTTTCAGTTTCTGGTTCCTGTGTTCAGCGTGTCTCATTAGCGCAGCAGGTTGCTGTCTTTTGTGGACTGATGATCCCCGTTTTCAGGTTCCAGGGGCCTTCCTTCTGCCTTCTGACCTGGCCCGCTATCTTTTGCGGCATTATGTCAAGTGTTAGGTACTTAGTGCCTCGGCAACTGCAGATAGAGGTTGTGTATATCTCCCGGTTCGTTGGCAGGGCTACCGTTTGTCGGCTCTTTCATGGCCTATTAAATTAAACTACCTCCGATTAGACTAAGGGGAACACACACACTCACACTCGCTGTAGGTGGTTATGGATTTCCTTGTTCTTTTTTTTCATATTTTCCTTGCATTCTTGCGCCGGCCATTTGATTAACATTTTCGTGTTGCAATATGGGGAATTCCCTTTTGTGCCTTCATAATTTAACTAATTGCAAGCGCAGTCGAGTCACGTATGGTGCACATGCCACCCATTTTTTGCCCCTTTGCCGGCCCCCTTAACCCCCTTCCGTCCCCCTTAACCCCTAGTGTTCAACCACCACGCATTGCAGCTGCAATTCTTGGCAGCCATTATAGAAATTAATTTTCAAGCTGAACAAACGAGCAACAACTTGGGAGTCATTGCATAAATACATAGAAGCAAATAACGCACACACACACACACATGGATAGCTTATTGGTAAGAGAGAGAGAGCGAGAAAACCTGGCCAAAACGGTGGGTGTGGCATGTCAGCAACGCCCACCCAAAACACGCAATTTTCAACAGCCCGGCAGCAATTTAAACGTTGACAGACGGCTGCTGGCGAAAAAAGAGGGTTAAGGAAGAGCAGGTGGCGGTGGGGGGTTAATGCGGGATAGCGGGGTTTAGAGGGTTAAGGGGGCCGTTTGCATGCGTTTTAACACCATTTGCAAGGCTCCAAGCCGAGAGAGTCAAAAGCTAAAATAATATTTGCATTCTGCACGCCATCTAACGTGCATAAGCTGTACTCAATACACACATGCAACACATGGACGTGGGCTAAAAGGGGGGCCTTTGAGGGGGCGGGGAGACTGGAGGGGGATGAGCAGGGGGCGTGTGGCGGCGCAGACATTTTGATGTATGTTTTGGTAAATAAAATTTATTTGCATTAAATTACCAAGCCAGACAAAGCGAAGGTGATGGTGATGGCCTGACTTTGGGGCAAGAGGCGGGGGGTGTTGGGGGGTTTTTGGGGAAGGGGGTGCCACTATGAGGTTGAGAAAACATTTGCTAAATATTTGTAGACAATTGGTAGTTCAACTAATTTGAGCTGCTTGCTGTTGGATGTTGCTGCTGCTGTTGTTGCTGTTGCTTTTGCTGCTGCTGCTGTGCACCTGAGTAATTAAATAGCATTTGGAACCTGTCATAAGAGTCGGCCCAACCCACGGGCTATCCGAGCACTCTTATCTTGCCCAGAGGCAGCGAACTTCATTGCAAAACAGTCCAAATAGATATGTGGCCAGCACGCAATGTGACAAGATTTTCAAAGAGCTGCCAGTGGGCAGTGCAGGTGCACTAAGAAAATTAAAGCAGTTGGTATTAAATCATGTGCAGATACATTTCATTATAAAGTAATTAGTACACTTTTTAAAATTTAAAAAAGAATGTTAAAAATTATCTTTGCTTTAAAGATTTTATCTTCTGTTTGTTACTACATTTTATTATACTTCTTAAATCTTAAAGGCACATTTTCCACCCGTGTAAGCTTATCTAAAGCAACTGGTTATTAACACGCTCCTGGCTAATTAATTGACTCGTTTAGCCGGTGTTAGGGCCAACAATTTAAATGCTTAGCGCGTCCAGGCAATCGCCTTCACCCAGGACCTTCGGCATTTAATTTGCAGCTTAATCGTTCATTTAGCCGGTAAATACCTATTTGGTGCTAATTAAAATCCCTCATTATGAAATCAGCCAAAGGCCCCCGAGCGGTTGCCGTTTTGACCGTAAGCGTGTAATTGCATTAGCCATCCGGCCAGCGATCTGCCCATTTGGTTGCTATACCCACCGATCCACCGATCCGCCAATCCTCCAATCCGCCGATACCGCCAATATCGCCATGTTGCCCAACGGTTTTCACTGAAAAAACGCTGCTCGATGGATGGTGCTATGCGAAAACGCTTTAATGAAGAATTAATTGCCAGCAATTTGCACCGCAAATCAATCGAGCGTTGTCACCGTCGGCTATATACAGCGATTGCTTTGGATATTTGGTGCGGTATTGCTGCTGCTCCAAACGATACGCGTAAATTTCACAATTGCTTGTTGCCTGTCTCATTTAGCTGCTGTTTTTTTTTTCTTACTTTGTATCTCTTGCTGTTGTTGTTGTTGTTCGATGGTCTTATACGATGTCTCGTCTACAATACACCGGAGAACTCAAATTAATTGAAAATCCATTACAAACATAGGCTAAATGTCACAATTGGCGTTTGTGGCATGTATTTGCGCTGGCAATGGCGATGCTGGCGACGTATTGCCCCAGCAGCAACAGCAGCCACAGCAGCAACATTGCAGTGCAGCAGCAACATCGCAGCAGCAGCAACAATGCCTATAAAAGAGCAAAAAGGCGAAAACAAGTCTCGCACTCTGGTTTCAACGTGCGTCTCTGTCGCTCCCCCTTGGATCTTGAGTTTTTCCGCAGGTTTTGCAACAGGCCAAAGGCATTCGATGGGCGGGGCAGCGGACGGGGGGCGGAAAATCCAGCTCACTTGCAATGGAAACCCCATTCCAACAATTTAGCGACAAATGAGCAATTAATTTTGAAATAAATGTAAAGCAAACTGAAACGGAAAGAAGGCAAGATTGGAGCGCGATACAGCGTATAAATAATTGAAGTCACAGCAGTGGAAAAAGAAAAATGTTATTATTTAAAAAACCATATATAATTAAATAACACAAACACAGAAAATTAACTAAAGTATTCGAAGCTCAGATCATAAATTTCATATAAATATTAAAGCCATGCTGTGTATAAATATTATTGTAACGAAATATCGTAAAAGCCAAAACCTCAACCTGTGACAAAAGCGAAAAAGGGCTGTAAAAGTTTGGCCGCCTCGTTTATATGCTAATTTGGCAACTAATTTATGGTCAATACAACAAGAGCGACAACAAAATACCAAACAAGACAAAACAGAACCAAAACTTCACACGGAATGCAAGCTGGCCAAGAAAACAAGGCGAACAAAATAACAAAATATATTTATATTTATAGAGGCCGCGTCGCTGAGTCTGTAACAAATTTCCGAGCGCAGCATCTTCATTATAAAGTCGGGCACCTGGAATCGAATCATCTGGTGGCTTTATCGGGAGTGTTCACATTTCGTTTCACCTTGTTAGGGACCATACGAAATGCTTTTACGACCTGCAGTCTGCAGCCCAGAAACCGAGCCAGCCACACAAATAAGTGAAATTATATGCATATCGGCCGATAAGGCCGGAGCATTAACATAACTCCGACATGTCACACTAATTACTTAATGAGCCAGTCAGCCCGTTCGAGTTCCTCTGTAAGCTGGCTTGATTATTAGTTTTGATTCCATCGCGACTTGGATTTTTATTGTCTTATGGCAGCCCGTGCGACATTTATTTGTTTATCGAAGGCATAACATATAAAAAAGTGTGTGAACACAGGAAGTTTATAAGACTTCTGAGCTTGATCGACATGGAACTATAAGGGATACAATTTGATATTTAAGATTATTGAATATGGTGCTTTGTATTTTATAATACCCAAGTTGTATTCTAGATACCTTAGTTCATGTGCCAAAAAAACTTATTTGTTCTGTGCAGGGATTACATATGTGGGTTCTGGGATCCTCTCGGTCTGCCCTTGTGGTATTGTTCTTTCATGCATCGTTTGCCATATGCAGAGCATAAAAAGCAATTACAAAAGCATGCAACTTGGCCACGTTTGTCACTCGGCAATTTCAATTTGTGCAATTATGCGTAAAATTAAAGCGCTGCATATCATTTGCATTTGTCTTTATTTTGATTCGGCTGCTGCCTCTGTGGTTGCCTCGAAACAAAATGCCCAATAAATTACGCGTGCCCCGCAGGAAAATGGGGAACTGGGGAACTCTAAGGGGCTGGGGGATCCAAAGATCTGACCCGGACTGACTGCATCTTTAAAATGCCATTTGCATCTTTGTGGTTTTGGCGCAGCCCCGATGGCAAGCTCATTACTTTCATTAACAACACTCCCGGCATGCAACTCGCAACTTGCAACTTGCAACAGCTGCTGCTTTGGACCCCCCTTTTCCACGGATCGGCCGTCTTTATAAGGCCTGCACGTTTCTTTTTGCTGGTTGGTTTTTTTTTCTGTACGTCTTTTACTTCTCTGTGCCTTTGTTTGCCAAAACAAAATGCCCAAATTAAAATTGTTTTGCTGTGGAGAGAATCGAACTGAGGTATTGGTGGGGGCAATCCGGAGGAGGCTGGCGATTGGGGAGGGGATTCACTCGGGGAATGCATTTCCCGTCGCTACTGCTGCCGCTGCCGCTGCCGCTGCTGCTTTGTCTGACAAATAGTTTAGACAGCAAATTTATTGGCCACTTAAAGGAGTAATTACCGTATATTGTTGCCGCCGCTGCTTTTAGCCAAGCTGACAAGGCCAAGGACAGCGACAGTTGACAGCAGATTTCATTCAGCAGGCCGCTGGGTTTCGCCTGCTTAATGGTACAGTAAAAGAGTCTTCAGAAGAACAAAGCTGTTGACAAACAATATTATAAAATTGTTTGTTTTTCTTAAAATAAAACAAAGGATGCTGATTAGGTTATATAACTTGATATTAAATTAGTTGAGCACTGTAGTGTAAAGTTTTGCATTCGCGGACAGTTTGTCCGCTCAAGGGAATTTTTACCAGGGAATCTCACAAATCTTAACTTAAGTGACATCAAATGAAGCCTTTCACTAATCAAGACTTTTCCTATCCATTTTCCAGATGCCAACGAACCGCCGCGGATCAAGTGCAACCTGCGGAAGCACAAGCCCAACAGGAAGCCCCGCACCCCCTTCACAACACAGCAGCTGCTCTCGCTGGAGAAGAAGTTCCGGGAGAAGCAGTACCTGAGCATCGCCGAGCGGGCGGAGTTCTCCTCCTCGCTGCGGCTGACGGAGACGCAGGTGAAGATCTGGTTCCAGAACCGGCGGGCCAAGGCCAAGCGGCTCCAGGAGGCGGAGATCGAGAAGATCAAGATGGCGGCGTTGGGAAGAGGAGCGCCGGGTGCCCAGTGGGCAATGGCCGGGTACTTCCACCCCAGTTTGATGCATCTGGGATAAGTGGCGGCCCAGTTGGTGGTGCACCGCCAACGCCCCATGAGCCATAGTCCCCGTCATGATCATCCTGGTAACCAAATAGCCGCTGTCGCCGGTCCTCGAGCGGAAACCCCCAAAATTTTGCTGTGATGTTAGCGCATTTTACGTTACGATACTTCCAAATGTTGTTTCAAATGCACACCCTGTAAATAACGATAAGAGAGCAAGAAGAAGCACCCGATCTAACCAATCGAACATTGTATATAGCGAGAGCAAAAGCAAGCAGAGAAATGTTTCCTAATTGTACATAAATCTAGCATGTAAACCCAATCAATTAAACACCTTCGTTCGTTTGTTTCGTCTAATCAATTGACAAAAGGATTGAACGTAATTTATTTGCACAACTCAAGTCAATAAGCGTAAAAACAAGATTAACTAAATTCATATTTGATTGTATTGTATTTTGCAACGTAAGTCAGTCTAGCTAATGGATCGATCGTGTATTTAAAAAATACTTCTAAGCATCTAAACTAAACTAATCTAATGCTATACCTATGCCGTTAAAAGTACTTTATGATAATACCACAGACCTATACATATAGTTCATACATGCATAATATATTATGAATACCATATAGCGTTAATCCTCTGTAGTTGTTTAATCGTAAATCATAAAAAATGTGAAAAAATAATACAAAAACATGCTAAAAGGGCAGAAGAAAAATCAGACAAAAATCATTGAAAAAAATATATAATTATACAAAAAAAAAATACCATTTGTTTTTATTTATTATGGTGTTCTTCTAAAAACGAACATTCAATGAATTAAATAACTTCATGAAATAACTAAATACTTAGATTACAGCTACAAAGTAGCATAATTGTTGATAATCATGCTGTCTACAGCCTCGTAATATGCCAGGAAAACAATTTTGTTTTGATTAAAACGTAAAGTGTTATTTTCAACGGGGTGGTTGCATAAGACCGATTGGCTGCCATATGTGGTAATACGTTGGTGTTGCAAAACTATAACACATCGGGAATGGGATTCGTAAGAAACCTAAATCAGCATCCGCAGCGAATTGATAGAGGAAAAAATGCTTGGAAAAAATAAGTAGGTTGCGAAACAAGAAGCATCTAATATTCGCGTGAAATTGGTGTAATACCGCTGGCACCGTCACACCCAATAAAAATTAATCTAATGAGTATAGTCCACTGTCATGGACATTTCACAATTTCATCGTTACTCATCTTTGACTTTCGAGAACTCTGGATTCTTATGAGTCGATCTGTATCATCTGGCGCGATCGTGTCGGATTGGACTCAAGCGGAGAAGCGACGAAGCATCCTTATCGGCTGGCAATTAATATTTAATTAATCAGCAATCGGTTGCTGAGGCAACTCAGATGGCCCACATGGCGTATACGTATCGCTCGCAACTCGCTCTCCATTAAAGCACATACGCAAAGGTTAGGCCGTCGAGCAGCGAATTAAGATTGCAATTGAGTGATTATCAAATTGTTTGCAGTATAATTTTTATTCCTGCGCGATTTGTCGAGTGTCAGGCGGGGTTCAATAACGAATACATTTTTTCTTTATTTGTTGTTGACAGTTGGCCGAGCGTCAATAGCACTGTGTTGCCAGTGCTTTTTGCTGTCTCTTATCGCCTGGAATTAAAACCCAATTAATTTAATTACAAATGGAAATAACACGCCGTCGGCACAGCAGCGAGCAACACGTCAAATAATTTAGCTATTTTGATTTATTTACGAATGGCAAACAAGTGTTGGTGCTAACTAAGTGTGTACATGTGTGTGTTTGTTAGTACTTGTGTGCTCAATAAATAAATTAAAATGTTATTTGCCAGTTTATGGCTGATAAGGAGAGAAAATTTCCTAGAATTTCTGCACTGTGTAGGTTAAATAAATATTGGTTTAAATGTTTTTTTGCGTTGGGTTATTCCTCACACGATGGCAATGCGATACACTCATCGCTGACAGTAAAATAAATTATAGTTATCAAACGAGGGGATTAAAACAAAGTGTCAAATGATACTGGTCATATAATTTAATTTAAATTTTTAATCGTACTTTTGAAATTTAAATAGAAATATAAATATAAAACGTTCTGATTTGAAGCACTTGCATATATGTATATATTTATTCTACAGTATATCGCTTTCGCAATTCCACTTGACTCATCGAACCTCACCTGTTTGCCATCCATACGATTTGAATATAATTTGTTAACAATTAAACTGCAATCGTGTTATGTTTTATTGGGTAGCAATGAAATAATTAAATTAATTATGCATTTATTGTTCATCATGCAGTGATAAATGCGTTCGCCAATGAAGGCGAATTCTCCACGGCAGCCGCCAGTTTTTATCTCGGATGTCAAATCGATTGTCGGCGCAATTAATTACGCGTATATAATTACAATGCCTGCCTACGCTGACGCCAACGGTTGACGCCCAGTCCCCCGAGAATGGGGATTTCGACTAGGGCGATCGGGGGATCGGGGATCGGTGGATGGGTAGATCGGTCTCCGAGCGACTGCTGACTGGGCCCCCTCGTCTGTTTATTAATTAGGCCCGGCTACGCCTTCAGGTAGCCGCAGGTGGCGCTGCATGCAAAACGCACCGCGCCGGAAAGTGCAATGCGTTAATCAAAACGTAATCAAATCATTTGGCAAGCGGAAAACAGCCTGAAACAGAAACCGAAAGGCGACCAAAACGCAGGCTAAAAAGGCAGAGAGAGAAAAGATTGCATACGTTTTGTATTTATGTATTTAATTTTTAATGATGTTAAATCTATGGTAATAATGAAAATTGAGTTTCAATAAATATTTTCTAAATACATGTTGTACATATTAAGTGAGTTATTAAATATGTCTTCAATTCATTTTTCCAGTGTGGTTAACATCAGGAAAATGAGCTTCATCGGCAGCACAATCACAGCCTGGTCACATTGGTAGCCTGCTGCGATTTTGGCCAAGTCCGGCAATTAAGCTTTATATCGGGCCTAATGGACCGAGCGCCGCCTGCGCTGATTGCGGGCATTTGTTTGGCGTCGTCGTCTCTTTCTCTTTCTCTCTGTCTTTCAGCCTCTTTTTCCCTTTTTCTGATTCTCTTTCTGTCTCACTGCCCAGCGCCCAATCAAACGTATATATATCTGTGTATATATCGGGGACCCCCCGCCCCCAACCGAAATCACAGCTTGATATTAACGCCCAACTGTGAGGCGGCGCATTTACAATGATAATATTTGTGTTCAAAGTTATCAATGGGCCAGCCGCCAACGGACTCAGAGTGGGAATCGATTGGGGATATAGACGGAGGAGGGACAGGAAGACCCAATTGAGGCAGAGCAGTTAAGATCGGCTTACAACTTGATTTCAGTTGTTTTCTGCTTAATTGATTAACTACAGCTTTAGGTTGATTAACTTCGGACAAATGTTAGAGCGAGATTATGTCGCGGTTACACAGAGGAATATAACTGTTATTAAATATGTAAAAAGTTTTTTAACTTTGAAAATCATAATTTGGGTATTAATACTTGTTTATAGAATTAATTTGTTTTAGAAATCAGAACAAGTTGCTTAACATATTGTGAGAAACATTTCTTGTTATCCACAAAACATAATTTCTCCAAAGCAGAACTTAATTCATAGAAAAGCAAGCCATATATGTAAGTATCACCCTCTGGGAGTGCAAATCCAAGCATAACATTTTTAATTAACACCCACACACGGACACATGCAAATGAGCTCATTATGTGCTGATTATGCAAGATATACTGCAGATACCGAGTACTGGACAAACTCCCCCGGCTCCCGGACAGATTGTAGTTTTTCCAGCCCAACACCAACATCTCCATTAACCGACAGCAAGTTCAACAAACGAAGATTGCCCACAGAAAGATATATTCGTGTGTTCACAGAAGATTCATTCATAAAGTCAAGCGAATTGGAAATCCGTTTGCTTAACCCGGTTTGCGATATTAAAAACTCCTCCGCAGACGGCATGGCGATCCGATTGGCCATTAACTCGAATGGAGAGCACTCGCAATTACCGCGAATAAATTGAGGTAAATAGGTAATAAAAATAATGTTTTCACCTCGTTATGTGAGGCAGCAGCTGCTCTCCATAATTCCCGGAAAATTTCCAACCACCTGATAGGGAGGAAATAAACCGAACTGCAAGTGCTCCAGTCTTCAGCATTTAATACATCTGGAGCAGATAGGGAGGCAATTATCCGAATGATAGGAAGATCAACAGTTCTCCTGAAAATTTAAACGGCAAGAACAGATCATTTTTAATTAGCAACACGTTTAAAAAAGATAGCATGAACTTTTGGTTCATTATTTTGCAATAATATAATAATATTATAACTGTTTTTCAAAAAATGTATATATGTTGGAGAATATTTTTGAATATATTATAATTATATATTTGTTTGATATTATTTTTTTCTTGATAAGAGCATTTATTATTCTTCAGTTTATTTCTTCCAAAGTCTCAGACAAACAATGTCCCAAAAACACTGCCATTTCTTCCCCCAAGACCGTTTATGCAAATGATTCATTTTCCACGGAATTCCCTGGACGTCAATTAAATTTTTTGTGCCACTCTTTCCACTGCTCACTTTGTTCGCACTTCGAGGCAGCCAAAAATAAAAGCATTTCATATCCATTTACATTGCACTTAAGCCGAAATTTCCCTTTTGGGGTTACAGACTTTGGGTCAGGTGAGTTAGTTTGGTTACATTGTGTGGGTTTTATGGCTTGGCCTAAGCACTCTTAATTGGTAATTACAATTTAAATTTCATAGTGGGTGAATAATGGAAAATATCCGTAATAATTTTCCATGGTTATGGTGCTCCTAAGTTGGGTCGAAAGATCGCCGATCGGCGGTTGCTCCCACACTTTTAAGGCAGTAATTTTTTGGTCAACTGCAGGCATTCCTGGAAATGAGTTGTGGGGAATGCAATTAAACAAAATAGCGTGAGATACGCGACCGATAAACGGAGGACCAGGAGCCAGAAACATTGTCGTGTCTGAAACCTAATTTCCAAGTTTAGAATTCTGCGAAAACGCTCCAAGAACTCAACTCCAAAAGGCCCCTCCTTGCGCCTCTTCCTTGCGGGGAGTTTACGTTTTTGAATACTCAATTAAATTTTTGTGCCCGCTGCTGTGGCTTTTCCTTGCCAGTTTCGCACTATTTTCAATTGAATTAAATGCGGTGCTGCCTCTTGCATTTTCATGCGAACAATTTCAAGGAATCGCGCATATCAAGCGCGTCGTCGTCGTCGTCGGCACGCTCCGTTTGGGCGCACAATTAATTTGCGCCCCAAAAACCGAACGCACGTACACTCGACGGGTATCTGCATCTGCGAGATACATTAGCGAAAGTGTAGGTCGTCGCTGGCAGATACAATTTAATTTTAAATGCCCTAGCCACCTAAGAGTCATCCTGGCTTGGAGTTATATGCTAGACATGAAGTTCATGAATGGGAAACCCAGAGAAATATTTCTCAATGAACAATATGGGAATTATATTCAAAAGGAAGGAAAATAAACATGTTAGGACTAAATTTTTATTTAAAAAGTTTGTGTAATTGCACATTTATAAACCAACTATATATATAGTAATATTTTCAATTATATTGATAATTTTATTAAAACAAAAAATCCTTTTAGTGTTGATATAAGCCTCAAAAAAAGCCTATTATTCCCTTAAAAA